CCCGCAGCGGGCATTATGTCCGGGGGGACACGGGGGAGCTGCTCCCAACTGCCACTCCAGAGCTGTCTGCAACACACAGGCGACTGTGGCTTTCTTTTTTTCATAATAAAAACCTTGCAGAGAGAGGAATCACCCGCTCTGGGCCATGACAGCAGCTTCCGAAACCGTTTCCCTAAGGGGCAAAGCTGGTTCAGTGGGTCACTCGTTTATCCCCGGGCAGGCAGCAGCCAGCCGCAGCACCGCAAACTCAATGACAATTCATTACATCTCTATTATTCGCCTCCAATTGAAAAAGTGATCAAAAATAATTTGGGAATTACTCGCCTCATTGGGCTCCAGCCCTGCAATCGCACAAAAACAGTAAAAAAAAAAACAGTCACGGAAACACGGCTTTGCTGAATAGATGGTTTTGTAGAGCCCGTTTTGTGTGCAGCGTGGGAAATCGGTGCGGCTCCCCGGAGGGCGCGTGCCCGTCGCTCCCACGGACTGTGCCTCTGATGACCTCCCAAAGCATCCGAGACGAGCCCTGCTGTGCCCCACAACTGCCCTTCCGTGGGTCGGTGTCGATTACAGGCTTTGCACTGCCCCGAATCCCTCCTTCCACACCACGGCAGGGACTCGCCGAGCGATGGATCCCCCCAGGCTGACCCCGGCAGCCCCGCCGGACCTCACCCTCTGAGCCTGCGTGTTTGGGACGGTCTCCGAAGGCTGGACGAGGCGGTGGTGGCTGCGCGGCCCTGGGCAGCTCCCGGGAGAGAAGCACAGCCGGCGTCGGAGCGGCACCGCCGGAGCCCCTGGGGGTAGGAACCGATGTAGACCACCAAGTCCTGCATTTATTTTAATAGTTTGGCCAACACACGTGGCGAGAACAGACTGTAAATAACCCATCGCAATGGCGTGAGGATCTCTGTGGTTAAAAACAACGGCAGTAACTCTCAAACCAACAACTTCCATGCAGCGAAAAAAATGCAAACGCTTTCTGCGGAGCAAAATAACGGTACCCAGGTGGAAAGGGCAATAACCACCCGCAACCAATCCAGATTTGCTCTGCGCACCTTCCCCCAGCAAAGGTCCCACCCAGGGCAACTGTCTGTCCCGTCACAGAACGGGGTTAAAACCAGGCCATCCAGAAGTGATCATCCGTACTTCCCTGGTACTGACATTTGGTTTAGAGCAGACGAACCCTCTCCTCCCTCTCTGCAATCATCAGCCGCCAACCTGCAGGCAGGAGAAGAGAAGCGGGCTCAGCTTTTGCCATTGCACTAGAGGATGAGATGCTCCTGCTGGGAAAACAGCTCCAGTCTGTTCACAGCAACAGCCGGCCAGCACGGTCTGAGCCATCTGAGCCACCGCTGTCTGGGAAAAAAAGGGAAAAAAATTGATGCATATTATGGAAGAAAGGTGGCTGAAGGAGTTGGCTCAGACACCTCAGGAAACGAGCTCGAGTATGTTTGATACGTGAGGACGGGGCTCCCTGGTTGAGCACCACATGCTCAGCATCTCCTGCTCCGCTGAGTCCAGGTCCCTCCTCGAGCGAGTGCTCAGCGTCCTCCAGGTCC